TCAGAATATATATACACATTACCTTTTTAGATTCTGATTACCTGTATAATGAGTTCTTCCATAGGCCATATATGATAATAAGCTACACCTGTTTTAGTAGTTAAGGATACTTGCTTTCCTTTTCAAAATCATGGGATTTAAGCGTTGTAGCTTGAGAGTGGTTTATAATTACCTGCTGAGGGACGCTGATCGGTCATATTGATAAGTTCACTATATCGGCTATGCAAATCGGCGCTTCGTTTCAGGGTATAGGCCTTAAACACCTGAGGCCGCTAAAGCTCCGCACACAACTATATGAGGCATGACCTGTGACCAGAGAACCTACTTTGTTCTGATGAGTAATGTGCCCGAACTTTATCAGCTTCTAGCGATGTGCTGTATACGAAAAATTAACGCAATGCCGAAACATCCCGAAGGGAGTCGTGCGAGATCATGCAGCTTGCAGTGAAGGCTCGTAAAGGCGTTTTTACACCCGCTCGAGCCGGATAGTGTCGAAATTTCCTAGTGTAATCATTTGACGGCGCTCATAATATAACTCAAACTACCATATTTAAAAAAGGATTTCGGTGGAGTTCTTAATTTAACTTCGATCAGAATCGAGTAGCGTTGGCATTTCGGCTAAAATAGGGTTAGCTTGCTTCCTATAGCCCACATCACGGATTCTCTTGCCTAAAACCACTTGCAATAAACACATATATTTCACATGTTTAAATTAGTAGCAAAAATACTTCTCTTTGCCGATTGACAGCAAACTTACCAATTTAAACTTTAAGACTTACTAACGTTTACAACGTCAGCCTGTTGTTGAGTCGTATATGTTTGCACTGTGGGCCAGTTGAATCCAAGGATTAGATTAAACATAGCAAAAAATTTAAAATAACGAAAATTATTTTTGTGTGCTTTTTATACATACAAATTTGCAACTGCAAGAGTTTCCATTAAGAACTGTATGTAAATTTGATTTTGAAAAATCTTGTAGTTACGATACTGTAAGTGGCGTAAACCAATATGTACCGTACATTAGGACCATTGTAAACACTGAAGCTTAAATAATCTATTATGTGTCCCAACAGTTCTATTTTTATCTAATTGAATAATGACAGAATACCTTCGAAAAATCTAACCTGTGGGTGAGCGTTGACATACCAAACGTAGCATTATTTTCTATTGCTAATTCATCTGCTTCCCTCCGCCATTGGAAAATCTCGTCTTAGGTACGAACATGTACTCAGTGGGTAGAGGGTGAAGGGGGGGGGGGGGGAGTGGAAAGGCTAACTGACTGCCCGTCAGATCGCCTACTTGTCAGTGTTACCGATCAGCCAAGACTATTCTGACTTGCGGTGTCTTTCGCAGCCTTTTTGCTGGACACTCAGCTGGATTGGGTTAGAATGGCGCCTACATGTCGGATAGGCAATTTACCGGATTAAATGAGTTCGTTGTTGGTTGACCGGTGTGGGTCGAACCTGGCCAGGTTGATACAAAGCTTGCTTGCGCGTCCAACGATCCGTTCATCCTTACCATTGCTCGTCTAAATTGCTTTAGGTTGCTCGAATCGTCATGGCTTCGGCTTGACTATGGCATTTTATCCATGGAGTTTTTCCGTCTCCTAATTAACTAGCTAGCGTCCATGAGCGATATCGTTTGTGTGTGTGTGTACGCGGTTAGTTATATTCGTCCGCACTTTTATGGGGCCGGTTGTGCGACAGATATATCGATGTGGACGATTATGAATGTGGGTTATCCCCAACGTAAGCCTCCATCCTGGCACCCCTGAGTATCGAGGTTAGTTGAGCAGAGAGTCGCCGATATGGTGGGCAGGCAGATTGAGCTTTTTCAACTGAAGTGCCCGGTTACCTGTCACCTTCATACGATACGTGGAGTGCACGCTGAATACGTGAAATAGTGCATTTTAAAAACTACCTTGAAATTATTGACTTGACTGGCAGTCTTATGAAAAGAGAGTAATACTGGACCATGTCTTTAACAAGCCCCTGAAGCCAGTGTTCTACTTGAAAGAAAGGCATGACACATTGATGATGTAGGTCCAGAATTTACTTACCTCCAAGATGAAAAACTTTGTTTGTGAGACTAGCAAGATCACCGTCACGCATGATCTTACCGTATTCCGCTAAATTCGATTTTTCTGCACACGAGATAACATATATCCTGAGATTAATAAGTTTTTGACGTCATACCTACGAACAAATCTACAAACCTTTGTCCCCTTAGCGCGTGCGAATCGCAATTTTAACCAGTCACATACACATTTTCGATAAGGGCCCAGTCATCTACAGTAAATTTATGGAAAAAGAAAATAAAAAATATGTCCAGCCCGTGTACTTAACCCAAGATGAAAATCGTTAGTAAGTGGCTAGTTGTTGTTTGCTGTTGCTGCTATTACGAAGTTAATTTACTTTGCTTTGTATCGACCTGCAGACTAGAAATTGCTAATTAATATGGTATTAGGTTGTTGGAGAGTCAAGCCATTAAGGTCTTGAAATTGGCGTTCAGAAAAGGCTCGGGGCTAGAGCGATATTTTACGATACGGGTTGACGACAGCTTTCCAATATAGCGAGACATACCAACAAGCAAAAATTGACAAAAAAAAACTCAGTTTTTATAGGTAGGTGCGCAGTTGCCGTTGTCTATGTACTCGGCTGTCCCATATGGCTCGATATGAGTAACTGTTTTACGTTTTCTAATCCTTTGTGTATTTTATGTATATCATGAGATTTATAATATGCTCTAGCACTTTCAGCAACTTCGATTTAAATGTAAATGAGGCTTGGCCCTAGGATTTTGAAGTGTCGATTTAACTATGTATATATATATATATATATATGCCATAGGTTAGTCAGAATAAATATAGGTAGTGGAAACAAATGACCCAACCTATCTTCCTATGGCCGTATCAAGAGCTTTTTCCAACGATCTTCCACAAATGCGAAGCATTTGAAGATTCCTTAGTTTAAAACTGTTTCATTATTCGTCAGTTTCATTGGCGTTTCCGTGTTCTTCTATTCAAAAAAGGTACTTTTTGATGAGAGCAAGTGGCCGGTGCAATGAAGATCCGATCCTTTTCACGATACTACTTGCCATTCACTACTGACAACTAAAGCCTAGGAGGAGCAATTGAACAGTAAAATTATCTATTCTGACGTTTATCCAATTTACTTTCAAGTTTTAGCACTAAAACGTATATTTCACAGTTAGTTATATACGCTTTATTCCTATAACAAGTATACCTTCTTCAGTGAAGTACTTCCCGGATTTCGGCGATTAGTCGATAATTTTTAGTCAAAAAAAGTCTAAACACACATCAGAATAATGGAATAATTATATGAGCTTTATGATTTACGTATATGGTCATTTAAAGATCACATTCAACCTCTGCTAATCGACGGCTCTTCTTCGGCACGAGATTCTTCCCCTAGAGCTATACCGAAAACTGCTCGGCGAAGGATACTTTCTTCTGAATGGCGTTCATTAAAGTATTCGTTTTATCTATAGCTTAAGTCTTTGTATAAGGAAGACTTTTTGTAGCCAATTGACGAAACCAAGCTGAAGTGCAGTTTATTAATGAAGTTATTTAGTACGGCCAATCTTACTTCATCAAAGTAACCCACCATATGAAAGTGAGTCGTCGAATAAAACCGTCAATAAATTGTGCTGCAAGTTGAGAGACTTGGCAAAAATCGCCAGTAATAAATTGTTTGTTAATAAAAAAAAAAAAACCTAAATTGTTCTCATACCGAGCTAAAAACAAGCGTGGACCTTGCATTTACTTCACTTACTTAAGTCAGGTTGTATTTTGGAAATTTCGATAAATCCATCTGTAATTAGGCTCAAATGCGGTGGCCTTACCGGCTGATTCGTGCCGCGCTCGTTGGCTGACATAAGAACAGGATACAACATGCGCCTACTGAAATCCTAAACAAACTATTTTTCCAGCGTCTTCCGAATACGTATTGCTCCTTCTGGCGAAGTCCGCCTGCAGGGCTCTTATTATTTCCGACTACCGCAATGAGTAGCATCGTTGAAACGGGCGTTTTATTAGGTGCTTTTTAGCGCTTCATTGTTGATCCTTAAATGGTCCTCTAAGTCTAACTGAGATGAACCTAGGGAACTCCGCATGTAAGGCAGAAGGCCAACAGTAAGGCCGCCTCCCAGGTGCAGGCTGATATTTCAGAAAAAAACTTATGCGCAGAAACGTGTTCGACGCACACAATGAAGCAACGAAGATGCGCTTTAAAAATATTAAAGCAGTCGACAAGGGAGTTACGTTGCTTAGTATAACAATATGCGGACCATCGGCAAGACGTCGGTACGTACGTTGCGTTTCAGTAGTCAGTATTAGTGGACTCGTCAATACGTTATACACCGTTTGCTCATATTTTAGCGTTGTTTAATGGTGACCAGTCCAATTGCTTTTTTTGCGCTCATCTTGCAAGGACCTCATCATGTTAATCTTAAACTGCGGAAGACGTTTTCGTATATACTGTCATATCTGAAAGCAAAAGAAATCTTTTGTATATCCATTTTATGTATGCGCAACTTTTATGTGTTCAGCACGCAAACCGTGCAGATGATATCTCATCTTTATTTGTTTGTAAATTTACAAAGACCTTCGCTACTATAGAGTCGTGCCTGATGTATTGTGCGATCGAATGAAGTTTAATGAAATCCGATAATAATAATAATTATTATATTTCTCGACAACGTCTTTCAAAAACTTTTCGCCCATCTAAATGGTTATTATAAAAAACATTGCAATTATCTTATGAATATATGTATTAAAATGAAAAATGGTATAAAATAGTTAAGTAAACACTTCATTTACAGTTCAACAAGCATTTCCACAGACTTTTCAATAATAGCAGTATCAAAAACAGTAATGTTTTTTTTTCTTTGTTTATAAGTTAATATTTTCACATCCCATTTATTTATATTCGTCTCATTTGAAAACGATCAAATTAGAGGTGTTGTTTTGTAGCCTTCAATATGAACTATAGTATAACAGAAGAGTTTGAACAGAAACGGAAATCTTTGCAATACATTGCAGAAATCGATACGCTCATTCTTCAGGGGAGGTTTTTTGCAGCCTAGCAGTTCAGGTTCTTCTAATCTATTCTAGATTACTTAGCTATGTTGGCAAGTATCCTTTGCGAACTTCCTATGGCCTTTTCATTTAACCAGCTTCTGCTATACCTATCTATTTTCTATGTGGCGTAATATATTAGTTTCCGGTGGTGAAGTCTGTCCAACAATGGAATCTGCTTTCGATACATATACTTATTGTCGACGGAAAGTTAACTTAATCTACCCACGTCGTTGACTAGTTGGCCTGGCTGACTCTAGCTATGAACGTGGGTGAGGCGTCATTAAACGTCGATCTGATCTTCTTACGTATCAGGGACAGAAAAAACACGTAAATCTAAAGACAAAGGCCGATGACCGATTTGCTCTACCCACGCGTTGGAAACAGGATTAGCTATTCGGCTGAGTGTCGACTCCGATCTAGTGAGACCGCAATCCCGCTTGTTTAGCCTGTACTGCACTCGGACGTTTTGCATATAAGCCTGTTGCAGGCCCGCCTGTAGTTAGATTGCAACAGTTCAAAATGAAGATCCAAAGAAGAATATTGCCGGTGGACAGGTATATGCATGTGGAACACTACGGGTAGTAAGTGTAGCTATAATGCTGCACATTAAGGTGTTAGAAATATACTAAAACTGAAAAATCAGAGTTTGTACAATGTTCATTTTTTGAGTCATATCCTGTGACTCATGCATCATGCATGTGCCCCGCTGCTCGGACAGGGGCAAAATGTAAGTAGTAGAAACAGATTGAAAGCTAATTCTAGGAAGTATTTCGATATGTAATAATTAACAAACGCTTACGCTAAGCCCGATTCCCAAAAAGCAGTTAAATATATACAAGCGAAATTATAATTTATTTTCGTGCACAAAGTTAACTTACTTCTTATCTCACATGTGGATGCAAGCACTCGATCACTGCTCGAAACTGGAACTGGTACCGAGAACAGTGCAGGAGTTCATTTGTTAGAGATAATAACAGGCAACATTTACATAGATTTATTACCTCTTTTCATTTCTTCGATTCAAAATATTGTTGCAGTACTATAATGATGCTGACTTTTATCGGAACCGCGTGCACAATAGGTCCTACAGGGCTAATACAAATAATAGAGAACTTTTATGATCCTAATGTTTCTATTTTTGCCCACACCTCTCATGATCTAGAGCTGTACACTCTTCAAAAATAGGTATTGGTATCTTTAGCAAAAGTGGACGTTGAAAGGGTGGGCCGAACCAGTTTTTTAATTCTTTCGAAACACACAATATTCCGTCAAGATTCCGTCTGAACTACATAGCAATATGAAACTAAGCTAACATGCCTATATGTTGAAACCTGTCATCGGTTCCATGTAGCCCCACAAGGTTTACTACAGGCATCTCTCGGTTTGCAATAGTCGTATGAAACATAGGATAACCATCGGATCATGGAATTGTCAAGGACGCTAAGTTTACAGTGCATCAAATCTTGTCAACGAAGGCCCCATCAGGTGCTAAGTAAAAAGAATTTCCAAATAATAACTATTGTCCTAGGCAGGCAAACCGACACATAGACAAGCCATCATTTTGCGTTGCAACACAAAACTGTGATTATCTTTATTATTTCCCATCTGCTCGAATTGGCTATCGCCGTCCTAACTAGTTATTTCTTTTTGTTTTTTACAATTAATTTTTTACCACTGATTTTCCGTAGAAGATCAGATGTTCTCGTTACTTCGTTAAGTACCAGAGCAGAAGTTGTTACGTCAACGTATAGAAATCTAACGCATTATAGTACCATGCTATACTAGAACTGTTTGCGATCGACCAGACGGTCGGACTATTCATCAACTGAAATCGGCTAACACTATTATATACACTTTATATACTGTTTTTTATTTCAACAGATGTGTGTCGCAATTTATTGTATGTAGGTGATTTGGTTAGTATTATGAGTGAGTGAATCAAACGGCGGGCCTACATAAATGATCTAGGTCTTGATTTAGGAGAATTGATTTATTTCACATCTATTATGTAACGTAATATCATGATCAATTATTTGTGAATCTAATTATATAGTAAATAAGATACGTTAAGAAATTTTAAGAGAAATTCGTGGCATTGTATGGTCAATGATATACTTTTTTTTCCTGCTGAAGCCCTAATCAAGGTAGAAGGACCATTATAGATCCGCCCTTGGACGACAACGATTCAGTTCGGAGCCAACACCGCCCGTAGCCATTTTTCTGCGTTGTGCTGTCCTGGAGCCTGCCTCCAAGCGTATACAGATTCGTGACGCACTACGTCAACTTGGAATGATTTAAGAATTACGGAGGAGGCTCTTTCACCGCGTACTCGATAGTAATCGATCTTTACTTAACTTCCAAAAACGATAACCTGTTGTTCGCTAGGGCACAAGTTTGTTATTTTATAAATTGGCTTTCGTTCGGCAGTAGTGAACCAAGCCATTACGGCGTACGCCTTGCCAAAACGTTTTCCGATTTAGGTAACGTACCGTGAACACATGCGTGATGTCACGATCTCATGAAATTTATAATGAATGGACGGTATTATCATCGTTATTATTATTGGCGGTGTTGAGTTCATTCTTTTGTTTCCAATGATCATTTCACGTTCTCCTCAGAGAATGCTTGCTGCTCAGTTGTGTATTTACTAAAATGGCGGTAAAATGAGGTGAGAATGAGGCTGTGATCTTCAATTCGTTTCTCTTCCTCAATGAAACGATTTGTTATTTTCCCCTAACCTGTTCCGAGATCGGTGCTTTGTAGAACAATTTGCTAAAGTATACTAGCAGAGCCAGCATGCAAGCGTGCATAACGCCTCTACATGTACGTACACGCTGCGAAACACATGTTTCATGGTAGAAAACCTGCTGACAACACGTGCTAACAAACATTTTAGCGGCGTGTAAGAACATTAGAGGCAGAGGCTCAAATATGACAAATAATATAAGCATTGTATGATGGGAATATGCGTTTGCGGGTGTAGGATGGGAGTATCAAAAAATAAATAGACTGGTCAATTGAAAGGAAACTATATCTACCATATTGTACTTCTTTGTTTTCGACCGATCTACGATTTGCACTTCTAGATAAGCGTTTGTTAAGTTGATCCATCTTGTTTCTGCAAAGGCAGAAACATGGACGGTATGCCGCCAATAGTCAAGCCACTTACCTTAAATTGCATAGTATGTCGCAATAAATATATATATATATAATTATCCGAGACCATTTTAAACAATTACATATATGATATGTAATCATACACGAACATGTGTATATATATATGTATACCGACCAGCTTAAATAGAGTTTTTTTGGGATTTTTCTTATAATTTAACTTGGGTTGACGAAAAATTATACTGATGAAATATTTCAAAAAAATATATATATATTTATGAGCTAAAAATAGATCTAAAAGGTAAAAAAAAGATCTTGCTGTAACCAAGCTGACGCAAAAAGTTCTGTTACAAGGGTTAAGACTCTATGAAGCATTTAAACTTGAAAGTTTAATTCTACAGGAAGTACTTAAATTTACCGAATGATTAGCTTTAATAGTCTATTAATTAGGGCTAATTGAAAAAAAGAATTACGGAATAATTGAATTAGGAACCAAGACTCGCTGGTTCAAGCCCTGACGAGATACACCATATGACAACTAATGAAGATACAGGCAACGTACCATAACCAGAACGGGCTGTAGCAGTCAGTATTAGTGTCATAGCATAATGGAACAAAGATCATCAACATATAAGAATCGGAAAATCATCGCTAAGTAACAATCCGTAGTAACGCTATGACCTAATAGTATAGTTGAACCTAATAGAGTTCAGGTTCAGGTAGGAGCGAGTTAAAAAATATGTGTTAGGTAACTTTCTTTGAACACTGTAGACATGTAAAATTACGAAACTGATAGAATTTCGGTCGTGGCAGTGATTCGCGATTGATGTTGCCCTCTGAACTGTCGTTTGCCACCGTTTTGTACAGGTTTGGCTGGCTAAATCGCTGCTCTCTGAAATGCGTCTGCAAACTGAATACAATTATTTCAACTTTTCCTAAACTTTAACTTCGGTTCCGTTAGATATAAAAGTAGGCGTTCTTTCCTCCTGTCGCAGAAACTACATTTTTATAATTTAAAAACAAAATCAGATCAACTCCATAATGTAACTTACTTTCATAGAGAGTATTCATTGTCACACATGCAGTTACTAGCGATAGCTAATACCCAAGGCAAAAATGCACAGAGTTCTAATTTGAGGATGCTCACGATTTTCTTCTAGCGGTTCTATGCGTATTCAAGCTAGGCTGCCTTCTCTGCAAATCAGTACGCCATTGTCTACATTGTGCCATGCGCCGCGTCACCTCCATCGCCGCCACTAGCAGGCTTTTATGACCCTTCACCTAGCGATACTATGAGCGTGGCCGGTCTGTAGATCGTCTGTCCCGGCCCCTATATCAAATAGCTGCTACGCCAGCCGAATGCTGTTCAGAGCGGCCGCAGTGACGGTCCTAGAATGCTCCTTTCCACTAAAGGCCGCCCGTACACTCTTACCTGATTCGACAACCCCGACATCGAGAAACCCGACTAAGTCCTTTAGTCTGGATAGGACACGCAACATCGGCGGTTTTCTCGGTATATTACATACCAGAGTAATAATCGTAGCCGTGATAATCATTGTAGTTATTTCAATGTGAGTGTTTTTACAACGGAGACAATGTCCTACGTGTTATTTGCTAGGTATTCTTTTACTTGAAGTTTATCGTTCGTCACAGTTGTCTCCCGACGTGACGGATAGGAGGGCGTCCCAGCTGACTGTAGTTCTTCATTGTGCGTGCAGTAAACCTCATTATAATCAAGTGCTTTGAAAACGAAGAGTCCCACCTCAAGGCCTGTTATAAAACACGCGCTAACTGCTTGTAAAGAAGAAGCAGGTAGCACATTTTATTGGAAAGTTGAATGATCGAATATCTGTGCAGGCTGGCGTCTGCTTTGCATCGGATCATTGTGTCGAGTTGCGAGATTTGAACCTAGTTCAAATATTTGTATACCTAAAATTAAGTATATATATTGCAAGGTATAGTACATAACGACCTGTCGACTGCTAGCAGTTCATCCTGTAGATAGATTACATAGTGGAGTCCCCTTAGTGTGCAACATATTTGCCTGCTACGCTGCGGTCGAGGCCGGGTGCGAATCCGGCCATTGACACACTTCGTTTTGTGCTGGGAGCCATCCATCTGATGGAATACCTAGTTACGCAATTTAGAACGACGTTTGAAACAATCAAAGACCAAGGAAAATCGTTGTACGTGGTGATGAATATCTTACCGGTTAGCGCTGATAGCGGCTTACGCTCGACACTGCCTCTTACGCTAAAGTTGTTCATACTTGAGTACCTTTACCATCAAGGTATCGATCTTGCCTTGTATCCATATTAGTTTGTAGTAAATTTCTTTACGTAGCAGGACGTATATATATATATATATATATATATATATATGTATAGCTGGTACCCTAACCGTACCATGTGCTGCGTCAAACCCGTAATTATGTGTGATATAATCGTACGTAAACCGACTTCAGTGCCACTGATGCACGTCAAGGCAATGGCTTGTATAATAATACGATCGTGTCTCAAGCGTTACGTGTCGCTAAGCAAGGACAGCTTACACGAGACCACTTGGGCGCAGTGATTTCAAAAACCTTCCAAAAGAGCAAACAAATGGCAACTTTTAGCAGGGCTTGTCGTCCATAGCAGGCTAGAATACCGTTCCGCGATAGAAACTCGAGCGTCTATATTGTAGCATTTGCTACTGCCATTCTAAGAAGCTGCTACGGCCCTTGCCGACAATTACTAGAATAGTGGAGGAGGGTCATTGGCTGCATACTCACAAATGGAATAAAAGTAATAACGAGCCCTTTTCTGACTGTGGCCGCTTTGCATCTCTGTCGAGATCGGTCGACGACAATCCTAAAACATCTTGAACTGTGGCGTGAAATTACCTCATTTCTGCTGGTAGGATTGGTTAGCAGCGATCGTTGATTGAATTAGGTCGACTGAGCTTTTAGCAATAGAATTTATTGAATAATAATATTAACAATTTTACGTTTAAATAATTACTTATACTGTTTTCATTATGGGAAGTAATCAAGTCGATTGTTCACCCTATTTCAGATTAAAATGCGAGAAATTGTGCATATCCAGGCCGGCCAGTGCGGCAATCAAATCGGTGCAAAGGTACTCCATCGAAACTCACTTATAAACATATATATCTTATTAATTAAATTATATTCAATGTTAAACTATTACATATATATATATATATATATATATATATATATATATATATATATATATGTACAGAGATTAAATGTTAAATATAAGCTAAGTGTGTTGCGTATTCAAATTCTACGGACGTCATCATGAGCAATCTTAGATATTGAGAACTTCTTTACGCCGGATCTATGTACATATCATACAACTCCTGTATAGCAATTAAGTACTTGAGGTCTGCTTGAGTGTTTGTTTATGTGGGTAAGGGGGAGTGGGTGTAGCAGAAAGCTTTGAATTACCGCTGACGGCCTAGCAGGAACCTTAAAAAGTCACGTCAAAGCTGAGATAGTCGGCTCTTCCAAGCTGGGCCGGAAGCAGCAGTATAAGCATAGTCTGAGAAATGAGCCTTTTGTACGCTAGATCTTTACTAATGACTGATCGGAATCCGCGACTGTTTTCTACAGTTACATGACAATTACCGTGCGCATTGTCGTAATTATAATAACTAACCCTCTCTGCCATCAGCTGAAATTCTATTGCTGTTTACCGTCTGCATCGGTCTGCTGACGTGAAAACAAACTCTTTAGATGTATTAGAAATTTATCGAAAAGTTCGATTATGTCGCAGCTTCACTAATGTAGAACGATGCGCCCACGACGACTGCAGTATACGTATAGTAGACAAACGTTTGCTGGCGTTCGATTGCTCAGCTGATGATGAAAAGTCCAGTCAATATTTAGTCCGCTTGGGTGCTGCGTGTTAATCATTCATAATAGAAAAAACACTAAACAAGTCTGCCACTTCCATCTTTTCTCAAATTGTCTTTACTGGAAGTTCGCAAGTAAGGTTTCATTCAGGGGCGCGCTCAGAGATACTTGTACGTAGGCATATACGAATTCAGAAAACTGCGGCGTTAATCAAGCGGGCTGGGGACGCGACCGACGTTCGATATTATTAAACATGCTATTTGTTTCATATATGCCCATATATTGGCATAGCATATACCCAGAACCCATTTACAAAAACCGCATTGTTGATGATACCTTTATTTTTCGCTGCTGGACGCCCACGGCTGTGTCCCATCTTCATAAAGACGAAAGGCTTCCTTCGAATCGGCAGTCGATCGTAACGTTCGCCGTGAATAAAGACAGATATAGAATGACTGTATCAACACGCTTAGCGGAACAAACATCTATATACATTCTTAAAATTAGGATCAACAAAATATAATAATAGTAATGATGTAAATGTTATATTGCATTCTAACCTTAAGCAGGGCTGCCTCTCCCATCGCTTGTCATGTAGGTCCACCCTGGCTGTTGTCTAAGTGAAGCCTAGTATGCTCCTGGCTTGAACCATTTACACAGGGAAATGAAAACGTTCAAAGGGCCAATGAAGCGTCAAAGTTACGTTCAGGACGAAAAAATAAACACATTATGCGATCTTATCATGAGGAAGGTTCATACAGTCGCGTCACTGGCTGTCTTAAGGCGTGCGTCGACTATCTGTGATATTTTCTGCATTTCAAAATGTACGACATTTGCATAAGTTTTGAAAGCATTGGCCAACCCAGAAGACTCTGGCAGTCTATCCGATACGCAAGACGTATGTCAACAGAAACATATGTAAAGAGACGGCTCATTTTAAAGTACAGAAACGAATAAGTGGTCCATTATTCCAGTGAAATTTACACGTATTACAGAATAGCTTGTGTGTAATCGAGCTACGCGGGTGGTTCGATTTGTGCACCATTAAGGCATAAGTAACAACGAGTATATTCGAGTACTTGTTAGTGTTATCGACAAATTTCAGGCCACCTAGGTGATTTAGACATTTCGTTTGCCCCATGCTGGGCATGATGACACAACTATTGCCCTATGCTGTACAAGAGTAATTGGGTTTTCGACTAGATCAACTTAGCCAGTTGTTTACTGAGAGAGGAGCATGTCATTGATTGATATGGCGCACATTGTCGCCATTCTTTAGCAAAAATATTTCTAATCGGACCCATTCGGCCGAAAGTCCATACGTATTTTGCCGTGGTCAACTATACCGCCGCGCTCCATTGAAACGAGTACATTGAAGCAGACAGATTTCTAAACGATAGAAGTTTGCTACTTCGAGAAATGCTGACAGATTTAAATATAGTAGTAGTGCATGTATTGTTATTATAACTACGGCACGAGCATGCGTAGATCGGTTGGTTCGATATAAAGCCTATAGATAGCGCGTGTTAGTACGCTTTATGTAGATAGATACGAGATATCAGCAGGCTGTTTCAGATCTGTTCAATATGGGGACACGGAACAATAGGTAAAGTAGCACTTTTTTTTGGGCTCCACTGGGAAAGGTGTCAATGGGGTGTCAAAGGGTGCTATTTTTTGCAAGCTGCTCCAGAAACGACCCAAATAGATTCTTTAGGTCGATTAGACACCTGTTGCGCGTAAGAAAAATTACAACACCATCGAGGGTAAGCTTAAAAAGAGTTTTACCACAAGATGACCGTTTTAGATGCCCATACACGTATTGTCGAATTGTTGGTGCCACTTCCATTTTGACTGTCCTTCAGATTTGTCCTACACTTTGCTTTCCTCTATTTTTTTCTTTTTTTTTTTTTTTTTTTTATCTGAGACTGCTTCCAGCTCATAATTGCTTTTTCAGCTATAACTATCATCTCCCTCGTCGAGGCATAGCTGCTATCCATACATTTAAAACATTTTGATGCACCGCAATTTGATCTCCGTTAACACTGTAATAATCTTAAAAACAATTGTATATGTATCGTTGAGAAGTATGTTTTGACTTTAAACAGAGGTTCGTGTATTATATACTTGCGGATAGTAAGTAGGAAATGAAGCAGAATAGGGGGCGGAGATTTGCTGATGCTCGGCTATTGTCCACTAGTACTCTATACATAGTGCCCTTTGTTAGTGTTGACTTGTATTAATTAAGCACGTTTAGCGGCGGCCAGAACACGCAAAGTAACGGAGCCAATTTTCAAAATCGAAGGACGTGTCGTAACAGCGATAATATGACGTCTCATTTGTGCTTTGTCAATTGATCAGACGGAAAATGTATGCGAAAAACGTCATAGCTAAGTTCGAGATAGGGTGTCCGTTCGAATTTTAAGCTTCGTACCTGACGCAGAAAATCTGATTCGATTCTAGTTTTGGGAGGTGATATCGGATGAGCACGGAATTGATCCCTCAGGAGCATATCATGGAGATTCCGACCTACAACTTGAAAGGATCAATGTCTACTACAACGAAGCAATGGGTAACTTTCAGTCGTTTGTTCCTGTTTGAATGCTGGCGGTTTAAGTGAAGGCAAACGGCGAAAATTCATTCGTTACATATTGCAATTTTTATTATTTTCTATTTCGAATAACAAAATGTTAGCTTACAGTTTAATGTGGCTCGAGAGAGATCTTGAAATAATGCTAATGGTATAAATATTTTTCCATAAACCAGTTGTTATTTTTGCGTTTTTTTAACTTCTATTAAGGTGATTTTTCCAAACACCCGGATCGAAACGGTTACTCGACGTTATTATTGTGTTTAGTCATACGTAATTGTGCAAATTCGTCCAAAATTGAATCTTTTTAAGTAATACTATTTCAAAGGTAGAAATATAACTTGCTTAATTCCAGTTCCTTAATTACATTTAATTAATCCTTAATTCCAATTAATTAATTTCTTAATTACAAAGGAAAGAGTGTGACATATTGTATAGTTACTTCTATAGACATTTTAAATTCCAAGTAGGATTCTCTCTCGTACGCATAGTTTCAATTTGATTTGAAATAATTAAATAACTGAAGCTTTCTCTAAGCATAGCTATCCTAAATCCTACATCGAGACATTAGTCTTGCCTCATCCTAGCAGGACCGAACATCATAGGACTTTGATATTCTGAGAAACTTACTTTGCGTCTATATAATATCCTAAATACACTCTTAGCGAGTCTGCTATGATGGGGAGATGCGCTACCTGAAAAAGGAATATTTGTAAGTTATCGAACTTAATTATCATAGGTTCAAATTGGTGTTTAGTTTAATGATCATAATCTAGGTCGCATTTTCTTTAGTTTGGCCAAGAAGTCAAATATAAGCTTAAATATTTCAGTGTTTTACTAACGAATCCGTATGCCAGCACAGCCTTTTCGAAATCACGACGGCATCATTCTCACTCATCTAACATATGACGACAACAATCTCTATAACAAAATTATTACCGAGATGCTTAGTACATTATAATATTTTGACGATGAAGCTTTGTAGATTAGATAAGCCGGTCAATTCGTCAGCAAATCTTCAAAATGAGAATATTCTGACTGCCTCGTGAAACTACAAAGAATTAAATTAATCGTAATCGTTTACTGCAAAAAGTGACAGAGGCCGGAGAAGGTGGCATTATGAAATGGGGAGGGGCCAGAGAAGTCCGGTTTCTGGAGGTATACAAGACAATTGTAAATGGACAAGAGAGTTTAAAAGGGCAATTGGCCGAGCTGAACGGGTCTAATGAGCATGTCTGCTAAACAAACAAGCGAATTTATAAAGAGATATCTTTGAGGCACCATGGGGCGTATCACCAAAGGTAATGGTTAGCACACTAGCGCGTCCTGACGATCATGACAAAATTTATTCTGCACTCCCTAGCATGTCTTCTACTTGAACAGTGCCTTGAGAATATGACTTCATGCTTTAGTAGACGTGTCATATGTGGTCATTGGCTTAAATAGGCGTTGTTTGGCTGCTACCATATAAGAAAATGTCTTCACACTATAAGCTGGTACGCAATATCCAGATTGTCACGTGGATGAAGCCAACCTCAGCGTGTTCAAGCGAAAGGGCCTCCCCCTACATGCAGTTTAGAACCCATGACTGTGATGCAATACTTTAATATGGACGAGTCATTTCAACGACGGGCTTTCCTATAGCATAACTAGTTATAGAAGTTGGACATCGTGAGACCTGCATTTTAGCAGGACATGTAGCTAGAAGTATATGAAACATTTCTCTGCGAAATTCATCAGAGCGATAAATAAAATTATTTGCGATTCCATCGCTGCTCTACTTGCGATTGAAACGTAAATCGGGACCGAAGTCTCGGGTTGGTTAAAGCAATCGTCGCTTGTCTGGTCCATACTCAAGGACCAGCGCTGCTGCAATTGTCCCATTATGCGTTAGTATATTTGGCACTAAAGAAGACAAAATAGCCTGCCAAGAAAATAGCAGGACAAAAGAGCATTATGCATATATGTATGTGCTCTTTAAAACCTGGTAAGAGGTTCATGAAAAAGTACGGCTGTATTATTATAAGAAAAGGCCAGTTGATACAGCAGATAGATGATTGAGAAGAGCTATTACAAAGGACGTCTCCAAAGAGGTCTATACTTTTGGCGAAATCGAGACGACTAAAGCATGCAGCCCACGGACCAAGGTTGCTGACACTGGTAATGGTAGACACGGTCAAAGAGGTCTTCGCCGTATTGAAATACGCAATGTACTCAAAGACGTACGTCACATTTCGAAAACTTACCCCGATCTAAACGTAAGAATTGAAGCCACTGAGAAAGAACTTATCAAACTAACTGAAAACTGTCAATCTAAAAAAAGTTCATCTAATTAATAAAAGATGACTCTGCATTTACTGAAATTCTAAAATATAATTAAAATATATATTATGAAATATAATTAAAGTATATCGTTGCATACGTTTATAATTTAATAAATGCACCAACGGTCCACAGTACGAAACTTCCCCCTGTGAATACTCATCTTCTTGAAACTACTCTTGCTCACAAGCGTAAACTGGGTATGAACAGTGAGGTCTCAAAATGCAGTGTGCTACAGAATGATTATTATTGCTAAATTAAAAAAGGCATACATACATAAACAGTCGCTTTCGAGCAGTAAAATTCTTAGCGAATCCGCGGATTGTATGCACAACAGAAGCTCGTTTTACTGTAATTTCGTCGAGTGTCTATTCAAAGAATCAGATCCGGTATCGTTCAGGAGATTAGTAGAAATATTTCGTTCCTTTGCCCTTAGTTCCTGACTGCGATTGCTTTCTACATCTAGACTAGAGTAGAACGTCATAGACGGGTCAAACTGGGAGTTTTTGCCAGCATAGTCATATCATGATAAGGCTCTTTGTTGATACGTCGAAACTTTACCACTGACCTGTTGCTGTGCAGATGAATACGATCAACGGCTATTACCGTCCCCTGGATCGGAGACAATTCATGTACGTATAGGAGAACTATGTGCCTATCGTGCAACTCAAATGATTACCTGTCAGAATAGTAATATTATTACGAGGTACCACAACAAATGCTTCTGATAAGTGACGAGAAAGACAGACGTGCATCAAGCCAATGGCCTTAATTTTACAAATTGTGAGCAATATTCAGTGACCTTTCAATAGCTACTCAAAATAACGTGGTAACATTTTTGAAATGAAAGCGGCCGCACCAAACACTTTGCAACAATGCTTCATTTGCGTTAGCGAACCCAGCTAACCCTAATATATTACGCATGCCAAAGAAAATATCTGGATGTTGCGCTGCGGCCATTTTGTGCATCGAACATGCCCGGTGGTGAAATTATTCTATGTCTACAGACATCCTTTTTCTTCTATTTTCAAACGTTTCGAAACACACAGATTGTTTAGATACGCTAACTCGATCGCTAAGGGTCAAATCCCAGTGGATGACTGTGGATTGTATCTATCTAGTCCATGGCGCTCGAAGGTCAACAACGCATTGTTCGATACAGGGAAACCGAACGGCGATATTTATTTAGATATTTCGAGTTTTAGGTTCGGTATTGTCGTTAGATGTTGATTGAAACACAGAAGTATCTATTTTCAATATAAGTAGTACACGTACGCCACGTGAGTCACTACAGCGATTAGCTCAACGTATGTTTCTGGTAACAGATCCGTGGCATCATTCTTATGCCGTCAGTCGCTGATAGTCCAATCCACTGCAAGAGTGTTCATTGACTTAGACGGCTCGCGCTGTATTTTAATATCATTCGCCCTGGTTTCGTGCATTTAAATTTATATATATAGAGGTATATACAAAATGTTCTGTTCAGGTATGTAGCGCCCTCTCGCGTGTTAGCACCAACAGTATGAGTGGTGTAATTCCTCCGTCATGGTTGTAGGCGCACAACGTTCGCGTCATTAAGTTTACGTACGACTTATTTTCTTCCTCTTACATTGTATAGTAAACGGCTCCTCATATATCGTCTAGTTCGCAGCAATTTTCGATGGTAATCGTTTGATGGCTCTGGTGTACAGGTCTAGACGTTCCTTTTATTTCATTGACGGGTAAACCCGTATTTATTCACATTTATGTAGTTTTCTCGGTCCTGTAAGCCTCCTGTATTACGTCGTGATATTCCTATTGTTTGGATCGTTCCGGGCTATCGTGCATCTAATACTGTGCCTACTTTGCGGCTTCCCTTTGTGTTTTCTGCTACTTGAAAGTACTCTATTGCAATTCATTGCCTAAAAAATAAGATTCGACGGGACACCCTGATCTTCCCCGAGACCGTCTCATCCCGCTTGTTTGGTCTCTTTTGAACACTTTTTTAGTAGTTCTTAGCATGTGATCACTGCATAAAATCTCATGTAAGGCTGAGTACGGCTTGCAGTCTTCTATTACACTTCGGATATCTCAAACTAGTTACACGCCCACAGCGTGGGCATGTAATTGCCCGAGTGCCCTGGCTTACTCTCGTTTCATGCTTTCCGGTTCCGAAAGGTTGCTTTGCTCTAGAGTGATGCCTATATATATATATATATATATATATATATATATATATATATGTAAGGTGATCTCTCTTTTAGCATTTTCGCTTGGTAGAGGGCCCTAGCCCCTCGCTTAGAAAGCCTTCTGGACGGCTTAGCTGTCAGCTGATGATTGTTTGTGTTGCAATACTTAAGAGAGCTTTGATGATCCGGCAGGTGTCCTCGACCAGGAACTATGTTGTCTGTAAGTACTAATCATGTATAAACTTTCTCTTTAGGGAGCTTTAAGTACTGAACGTCAAATCATTTTTGTGACTTCATCAACCAGATTTCTATTTCAACTTCATACGGCGGGTATCGCCGGTCTAGTATGTGGCCACATTGGCCAATCCTATCCAACTCCCTTCGTCGTTTCGTGCTTTCTTAGAGGATTTGAGCAACGCGCGGTCGGACTCCAGCGAAGAAATATAGCGTGGAGCTCCAATTTATGCGGGGCGCCACCCCGACGGGGGTGGGCTTTATTCCTCCTAGACTCCTACTCAATACTTTTTAATTTCTCTCTTATACACCACTTCGATAATCTGCTTTTTCAAGTAATGGCACTACGGACTGTTTTTAGCGGGTGGCTGGGGCCACCGGGTCACTAGATCGGGATCAACTCGGTTGGGTTTTCCGGAAAAATTATCTTCCGGCTCATCTTGCAAAGCAAAACTTTAAGTGTATCTGTCTCTGTTAGATTAAAAGACCCAGTTTAGAAAAGCCTTATCCTCTCCACTGTCAGATTCATGGTGAGTCTGCTTCCTCTATTCTAGGTCTCTTTGGACAAATGAATGTGGCTTATGAAACCCCGAGTCTCGTTTGTGAGAGCAGCCACAAGGCCAGAGTTCAGGTAACTGTTTCTGGTATATCCCGAAGCAGAGCAGTGAGCCAATATATAGAGGTCTTTCGGCATAGTACGCAGAAGAATCCTCTCTACCATGTGTACATACATCAAAAAAGCCTGTGCCCCGTAATAAACTGCGGAAAGTAGAAAACTAGTGCTATCCCAAACTTTTAATTCCTGGCTTAATATTTAGCGTTACAAGTAGATCATTTATTTTATCTTTCGTCTAGTATCGTTTCTTTTTGACCAACTAACAAGCCTGCCCATGTTGTTTCCTCTTCCTTACCTTAGGTTTCGAGGTGTTGAACATGCTAAGTGCTGCCCATGCGCTGACCATGCTGAGTATTAGTATTCCTCGCACTTTGCAAATTTTGGCTTATGGGCTGTCCTTTTGCATTTTATTTCGGCATTATAATTGTTAGGCCTGTCTTTCGTAGCGTTTGCACAACGAACGTGTACCGATCTCGTCATGGCCTTGTTGAGGATGGTTACCAAGTACAGCGCTGTCATCGATGTTTTGATTTTATCCCCTTCTATTGTAAGGGTCAGCTGTGCGCATGTTTTCTTGCTAGCTAAGGGTACTGCCCCCGACTTAGTCGCTGCTAGCTCCATAACTGATTGACTTTTGCGTCCTTTGCGAAGAAAAGACTGTGACTGTCAAATAATCAGAGTAAATCAAAAGCTTTACTTCCAGCGGCACGTTGAAGAACCGCGCCGCAGGTGATATTCCGTTCTCCAAGTAACTCCTATTGTCATGTCAATTGTGCACCTTATTGGTAACTATTCAATCTTTCATTTTCGTTTGCTTGTGAGATTCACACTCTTCGTCGCTTACCATTTGTTTTTCTATCATGGCTTACTCTTGTTGGTTTTGTTATATATTTTGGGAGAAGAAGGTAGAAGGAGGTGCAAATTAGCCATTTATTCTGGTTTCTTTAGCTATCTCAATCATTACATCAGTAGAAAAGTATTTTCATCATCTCACTTATTCCTCTTGAGTATGCTTTGTATTTCAGATACGATTTTTCGTTCCATTATCCTGCTGTAGATTATCCACATCATTGATCTACGAAGCTTGTGGTGGATCGTAAAGGTCTTTATTCTAGACCAACTTTTCTGCATTAAGGATAACCTCCTCTGACCTCACTCGCACAAGGGTTCATTAGTTCCAGCTAGAATGTTATTGAATTGGTTTGCGATATGTGCTTGCCTGGATTGAAACGATTGTCAATACTGGATTCGGTGTTGCGGCGGACCTATTTGACATTGTCCTAAGGATGTTCCGTACTTTTTATACGGTAGTTGGTATTCCAATATCCTTCAACACAAGTCATATTAATTAATTGTCCTTTTTCCGCTGGGACTTGATAACTTATTTGCAACATCAACCATGTGTGATTTTATACGTTCCACGTGGTTGCCGTTGTTTTTTCGTTGTTCAATGTGAGGGTCACAGCTGTTCGCTTGGTATGATTTAGCTTATTTAGCCCTGCAATTTCCCCCTAGAAGTAGGAAAATTTTTTTTAGTAGTGTGCACCTTGTTGTCTTAGGAAAAGATTTTTACGTGTTTTTTTTTGCACTATTTATCTAGCTGAATTTCGGTCACATGAATTAGTGGGCTGCTCTGAGCTGTTCATTCAAGTTTGTTGTTCATTTTGTTGTGACGTGGCTTCTTATAGATGTTTCCTGCCTCGCCTCTTTGAACTGGTAAAAAAAGCGCTGTTCCAGGACGCTATCATGGTTTTCAACGTTGAAAGGTCACTTCCCTTTTATGTAGTTTTCTCCATTCAACATCCATTGGCTACTGCGTGTGTTGGCTTTTTGGGATCTACTGGTTATATTTGCTTCTTTCTCTAGAGTTCTTGTCGGGACTGTGAGGTATAGTAGGATAAGATGAGATCTTTCGTGTATTTTTTTAATGCCGTCTAAAGATAGTAAACAAGCTTTGGCGTTCTCTAAGATAAGTATTTCCTTTGTTTTTTTGCTTTAAAGGAAGCGTTATTGCTTAAGAATGGATAAACAGGGCGACACTGTACGCAATATTACGTGTTGCTTGTTAGATAGAACGTTTGTTAATCACCCTAAAATACTCCTAAAGTATGCCTAAAGAATACTCTATTCTTCTTTGTTCTTCCGCTTTCTCGTTTAGTGGAATTGGCTAAATGGTTTATATCTTGCTGCTTCGAACTCGAGTTTTCACTTAAGCAAATGGAAATACTTCCAAGTATTACCACGCCGATGCAATAAAAAAGCATTGAATAATATTTATACTCTGCAAATCAAACGGACTTAAATGTAGGTAAGCCCGCGTGAAATGCTTACTGAGTATACCCGCTTTCGATGAAGTACTCGATGCCTCCCTGTATTGGCCATTGGGTGTCATAATTTTACACATAGCTCTCCACTGTAAACGGCGGTAATGGATCCTGCTCCAAAATCCGCTTTCGATGAAGTACTCGATGCCTCCCTGTATTGGCCATTGGGTGTCATAATTTTACACATAGCTCTCCACTGTAAACGGCGGTAATGGATCCTGCTCCAAAATGTAGAGTCCTTTCGAATTTTCCATAGCGTCGAAAAGAGGTTGTCCTTCAGTTGTTTTCGTTGAATGACACACTAGTTTTTCTGATCCTCCGCTTGTCCTTCATTGCTTCCTACAAAGGTTCGATGTATGGTAGATATCTACTACAAAGGACATAGAAAATTATTTCTGAAACTAGAAAGTTTAACGGTAACTATCCACATGCAGAGGTCTATGTTCGCAAACACTTCATGAACTGTTGGTAAGCTCCTAGGATCGCGTGTTTATTTAGTCCTATACTTTAGTACTCCTGTGGGATTCACAGATTTACAATTCGGTACTGTATAGTGTATATAAGATTCTAAGGTAAATCGTACACCATGGTTATTGGATTTGTTTTTTTGATTCTTATTTTGTTTTCCTTTGGCTTACATGATTGAGGTTCTAGAGTGCTTAATTCTTTAGGAGTTTGAGCGTAAGTGCTATGTGTTTTGCCTGGACTTAGGTCGGGATGGAAGCCTGACCTGCGTCCAGGCAAGTGAAGTCCGAAACAAGAAAAATTATTGCGTTATTAAACAAGCAGCTACTTGTCCAAAAAAGCCGTTACCCAAACGCGCGGTATCGGTTGCTAAATGCCTCTTCGAATACACCTACTCGAGGTAGTCTTTTTGAAAAATGCCTAATATCTACAATTTGACATTGCATATCAAAGGCACGATCGCGAATGCCGATTAATGTTTAGTAGAAGTAATTTACTTGTTGAGATTAATCGTACCATTTTTAGTCAACGCCGTCAAAGGGTTTCTCGGCACCTAGATCGGCAATGGCATACCTAACTGTCACAGAGTAGAATCCCCATGGTACAGGTACGATGAAGTGGAAGAACAGATCGTTACCGCTTATTCTTTCGCTGTCAGAAAAACAACAAAAAACAGTCCAAAATAAACATCTTTTAGTGCGTTTGCCTGCGACCACACACTGTATGTTTTGCCGAATCGCGGTATCAGGTAAATCGAACGCCCGGTGACGCAGTTAGCGGTCACAGCTGAATGTTACTCGAAATGTACCGAAGATATTCTTGTAGTTTTATCATTTTCAGCAGAAATGGGAACTCGATCAGGCTAAACTAAAAAAGACACATGCTTTTTCCATGTTCTAAGTGTAAAATATGCATTGAGATATATTTTAGTTACTTTTAATGATATATAGTACAAGTGCTCGTAATAAGCATGGCCGTTGAGGCAGTATTCGTATCCATAACCGTTCCTAAAGCGAGGTCAACGTCGTAGCTCACAACCGTTTCTATGGCTTTTGTTGTTTTGGGACAAATTATATGTTCCCCGAAACAGTGAGTGGCAGACGCTTCGAAATGACAGCAATAGACCCTAGTTAGCAAATCAATTGAAAACCTGCCCGTAAATGTTTGTACCGTATTTTGTACCTATCTAGGTATTACATACAACCTAGTTGGGACTAATTGTGTGGATGCAATTTATCCACAGCAGCTGAAGTTGTCACAGGTCTTGCTTCTTAGATTCTTAAAGCTTCAGCTCATGTTCAAAATGCCTATTTTAACATGTGACAGATCAATTCGTCAGTATGTCGATAACGCAGGTTTTTGTGCGATCTAATGTACATTTTAAGTTTACAACGCACAATCAGTTATTTTTCTCTGCATGCTAGAATCTAACTATATTATACACTACACCCAACCAACATGGCTAACATTTTGACATAAATTACCTGTGTGTGTGACGGCAATAGCATGGGTTGGCACTTAGCTAACAAGGCATCAACCCTTGTCGGCCTGTCTGATTTTGAGTACTTTTCGAATCTGACGTCAAAGTATAGTCGATCTGAAAATCATTTACAAGCACGTGGATTGAATCGACCTTTAAGTGGTTTATCGTGCGAAGGTCTGACCGTTCGACCATCGGCTGACGTACATTGCGCGAATGTAGGTAGAGTCCGGCGTTGCCTGATTCAAACTATACCAATACTACTATCAGAAACAGACGTCATTATTAAAGAGGCAGCTGTTCGCCGACAGCGCCCATGTGTCGAAATACAAATACGGGCTTAGTAGGGTAGAATCTGCACACGTATGTTTGACTAGTTACGATGTGGTGGCCATAATGAATTTCCTAAATCATATATGAACCTTGAATGAAAGCAAACGACATTTAAAACAAATTTAAAAACAGATTTCAAGTGAATTTTTCAATAGTGCGATAACGAGACACCGCTAACCTTTTTGCAAATTAAATAAGGCAACTCATATATAATTTATGCTACACAGTGAATAACTATATCGGCATTTGTCGAGCCTATTTTAAGCGATTTTATTACCTAGATATAAGCCATTCGAACTATACGTAAGCTCTCTCATTTAAGACGGCACAACTTAGAAAAGCTGCTGATCGAAACGGATAATTATTTCGAATTAGCAGCTATGCACTGCTAGTTACAGTCCCCACGCCTGATCCTGTATCGAATGAGTAATGGTGCCACCATGTGACATTTTTTGACAAAAAAAAAATAACGAAAAATATCTTCACTATAGCTATACGTTATCAGTACTTCCTCTAAATGCGTTTATCCAAATGTTCGATTTGGCTAATATCATGGAACGGATTGATTTTTACGTCATAGTATTAAGAAGAGGAGATATGATTTTTGGTCTGCGTTTAACCAAATCACCATGCATTAACCAGTATGTACGTAGGGAAATGTTTGGTTAGAACTTTCCAAGTTCATGAAAATAGCGTAGCGTTCTCCTGCTCTGAAAGATTATTAGGCCTAATGTTCCAGCCTCCTGGCTCATGGGTACGTGTGTGTGGTATCGCATGAAAAAGCCCATATTGTACTGCGTGCACACGTACAACATTCATGTATGCTATAATAATCGTTCTAAAAGTAGGCCTTTGGCTAATACGTGTAATAATGTTCATTTAACTAGGTAAGAAGTATGTACCTCGAGCGATTCTTGTCGACTTGGAGCCCGGTACAATGGACTCGGTTCGGGCAGGTCCTTTTGGAGAACTCTTCCGTCCCGACAACTTCATCTTTGGTGATTATTGTAATAGTTTCTGTTATACGAGCGATAGGCTCGGCTTGAAGTAAAGATTTTTCACTTGTATACTCATAATTGAATATGACCTAAATTTAAGTTTAATTAATATCGTAGCTTACCGAAACCGGCATTGCTTCTTGAACAAATGTAAAGAGCTAAAAATCATTAATACTTAATGTTCCGCAATTAATTTATTCTAGGTCAGAGTGGTGCCGGAAACAACTGGGCAAAGGGTCACTACACAGAAGGCGCCGAATTAGTTGATGCTGTAATGGATGTGATTAGAAAGGAGTCAGAGAACTGTGACTGTCTACAGGGCTTCCAGCTAACACACTCACTCGGTGGAGGCACTGGATCTGGTATGGGGACGTTACTCATCTCAAAAATACGTGAAGAATACCCAGACCGGATCATGAGTTCTTTTTCCGTTGTCCCATCGCCAAAGGTTCGTCGCATTGACGCCCAGGCATATTATGATTCTTCGATTATACGATACTAATTCCTCAATTAAAAAAAAAAAAGTCTGCTCAGCTACTCCGTGTGAAGGCGCAGATTTCAATTGCAAATCAAATAATATTGACAGCTGGTAACTTTACCGTTATTTCGGACGCATTGTTAACTCTCACGTCGTCAAGTACCATTAGGTGCCAATACGAGAGACAGCTCTATAATCATTGTTTGGGTTAGCACGTTCAAATTTATTTAGCAAATTTAATCTGTTTGTCTTCTGAGGGCCAAGTCTTTTAAAAGAGCATACAAATAACTTTTACACGTCACAACGCAGCGAAATAAAATGTCAGGTTATTCACTTTGTCTTTAGCCTTTTCAGTACAGCCTACTCGTTTATATAGATATATATATATATATATATATATATATATATATACATATGTATATGGATTCACGATGACTTGCTACGCTATATCGTGCCTGGCTCATCTCTCTTTTTCCCTTCCTCCCTTCGTCCCGCTTCGTCTGATCTTTGGTAGGACTGTGGTACCCCCAACAATTCCGCCTCTCCTCCACTCAAAGCGACTGCTGTATCGAAACACAAAAGTCAGATTGATCAAATAGGAAGCGGGATGCTAGGTCGGTTGAACTCCTCCCAAGGCGATTCTGCTTTTATAGCCCAATTCCCCCTGTGACCCTTGATTTGCGCATTCGGGCGTCAACATCGACTAGGGTCTCGTATTGTAAGACAAGCGGCACATTGTGCTGGTAGGTGCCCTACCTCCATTCCCTGATCAGGCACCTTCCTCCTGTACATTGTGCGTTTGCTTCCACAACCTCCTTTTCGCAGGAAAGGTTTTTTCTTGAACATTATAAATGTCGTGATCGTTCTACACCGTTTTAACCCTGCAGGTCTCTGACACAGTCGTCGAGCCCTATAATGCCACACTTTCGGTTCACCAGCTTGTCGAAAACACCGACGAGACCTTTTGCATCGACAATGAGGCTCTCTACGATATCTGTTTCCGTACGTTGAAGCTGACCTCGCCAACCTACGGTGACCTGAACCATTTGGTATCGGCCACAATGTCTGGCGTTACCACGTGCCTTCGCTTTCCTGGCCAACTCAATGCCGATCTTCGAAAGCTCGCAGTTAACATGGTACCGTTTCCACGATTGCATTTCTTCATGCCGGGCTTTGCCCCGCTTACCGCCCGTGGCTCACAGCAATACCGTATGCTCTCGGTGCCGGAGTTGACCCAACAAATGTTCGACTCTAAAAACATGATGACGGCCTGCGACCCCCGACACGGCCGGTATCTGACCGTGGCTGCTATTTTCAGGTGAAGTAAAAAATATTTATTTTGTGATGAAGCCTCTCTCTCTACTACGTAATTTTTCAGCCTTAGAAATCAACTAACTTCATTCACCGCTTGTTCTATGTTCAATCGACAGAGATCAAGTACAGTGACTTAAATTACCCGAAGAGATGATAGGAAAATTAAAAGTCGTAGAGTTAACGTCCAAATTATCGTTACTATTGTCATATATTTTATTGCACATCTGTTGATCGGTTAACATTCATATATATTCGTGTAGTATATCTACATGAGCAATTTCTTATCTGTCATCAAATCATTCGGACTGATTTTGTCCCATAACTTATCGATTAACTAGATGTGCTGCCATTTTGTGATTTTCATATCTGGCGCAAATTGGTTATGTATCTAACAATTTTTTTTTTTTCTCTAATTTAGGTATGTTAATGCTTTCCGTTTAGTGGGTTAGATTATTTATCTAGCGTGCGTTCAATGAAAATGAATCAATAACATAAAAAAACAAGCTAGTTCGAGGTAAAGTAAGTTCTTAGTAAGTAAAGTAAGAAGCTTAATTGATAGAAGCATTGCAAAACAGTGCTCGCTAATCCTGAACTTTCGAATTGTTTCAGTAAATGTATGATACACAAAAAGCCCGCAGTCGAAAATTTATCGTGTCATGTCTGCCAGTCTGCAACAATAGTAATAAATGTATTTATTTGAATTGCTATCAGGAGTCATACAAAATAAAACTGCTATTAGTAAAATCAGATCAAAACGTTTACCAAGATGTGAATATCCGGTGACGTTAGGGTATAGCCTGTAGCACCAACGGCTTTCTGGGCCTTCACTAAAATCGACTGATATATGCTGAACGCGTGTACAAAAAGTCTTCATAGTAGGAACGGCACCGTCACTCGCCGGGAAAATCCGTTAGCTTCATTTAGTAATTATCAAGATCAAGTTATGACTTTTTTTTCTTGCCACGCAACCTCACAAGGGCTCCGCATTGTAGCAAATTAGGACGACAGCTTCCGTGCCATGGATTATATATTGCGTTATACTTAAAAAGCAACATATTAAAACACTAGGGAACTGCATGCATTTTTATCAGATCTAACTACTAGTTTATGAGGAAAAAATTCAATGCACAAAAGACAGCGAATGAAAAAGATTTTTTATTGGCAGTATAATTCTTAGATACACATTTATCTAGTTAGGTATCTCGAACAATGAAAAAAACAGCGGTCTTAACTGTGTTAGGATATAATTAAAATTGTATAGCAAATATGGTCGATTCTTTTAGAAGTTATGGAAAATTCTCCAAACCGAATCAGCGATTTGAAATTTTGTCATCTGCACCCCTGATAGCGATTAGTCTATAGCTTCCTTTAATTTTTGCTAATCATTATTGGTCTTTTTTTGTATGCTAAACTTTTGTGTCCTCCATAAGGAAACCTGAACTATTTATGAACCTGCAAAATTGCACAGTAAATGGAAACCATATGATTTTTCTCTTAGGCGTGTCGATTCGCTTGTAAAGCCTTCAATATTCTGCCAAGTAATTGGCAATAAAATCCTGTTAGAAATAAAAATGATGCGCTTTTAAGACTTCACAGAAGCTTCACACTGCTAAAGCGCGTTCGAATATCGCGCTGTTATGTTATACCACTACTTATTGCCTTTTATTTAGATCTCTTTATCTCGCACACTTTTCTTTTATTTCTAATTTTAGTTGTTTAATTCTATGCAGGGGCCGGATGAGTATGCGCGAAGTTGACGAACAGATGCTTGGTGTTCAGAATAAGAACTCGTCGTACTTCGTTGAATGGATTCCCAACAATGTCAAGATTGCGGTCTGCGATATTCCTCCACGAGGCCTTAAAATGTCCGGAACCTTCATTGGAAACTCAACAGCTATTCAAGAAATCTTCAAACGTATCTCAGAGCAATTTACGGGTATGTATTAAATAGAATTGATGCAGTACCGGGTACTGCCAGAAAATGAAGGTACCTTTGGTTGAATTGCAGGTAAGGCGGGCTGGTAGGTATATTACTTGCAATGAACTTGTCGAACTCCAAATGGCTTATCGTTTGAGTCTTTTAATTAGGGTAACGTTAATAAAACGCTGCAGCTTTTGTAGTAGTTTGAATAAGACATTACCATTGATCAGTACAAATTTCCATGTCAAAAAAGAGATTGGCCTTCGTATCTGTACCAATTAGACATGTCTCAATTATTGCATATCAGGCCGCTTCTTTGAAGCAATTACCATCGGATTGAATACACATCTGTCAGAATTTTGGCATTTTGAAAAGATTTTTCGAACTTCAGGAACTTCAGTAGGAACAGACTTCAGTTCTGTTCTCATTTTCTGTAGGATTTTTTATCGCAGTTGTTTTTTTTTAATGTCAAGGATTTGAAAGATAAAAGTTGCAGGAGACTCGGGCCTGATGAAGTTGAGGTTCCTTTTTATGTAGGTTAAGGCTCTTCTGAGAGTTTTGTTCTGAGAGTTTGAGAATCTAGATTTTTTGGCACAATTTTTACTGTGAGTTTTTCGCTTTCGAAATTTTTTTTGCAAAACGGTTCTACATTATTTGTCTGCGCTACCTACATAACTTTCCTACGAAGTCCCAGGAAATGATGCAGCCATTTTCTGTTACAATTTGATCTATCCTTTCCAAACTTGCGTCCGTAGTCGTTGTGATGGGTCTTTTAAAACGAGGACCATTTTCAAGGCTTTTTTGTACGCCTTAGAGGTATAGGTACTATTCGGTCCCCCCGGCGCTGACTTACGGTCTAGTTTTCAGAAGCGTTCTACAAAGCTGGCATATGCACGCATTTTTGTGCTCCGATCTTTTTCCAGGAAAACTGTGCAATTTAAAGTCACTTACTGCGTAGTTCTGGAAAAAAACAAAGTATATATCCGAATTCTCCAAAATTTGGCTTGTGAAAGGCAAACAAGCAGGCGAGTGCAGCTAGGCCGGCCATAGGTTGGCCTTTAACCAACAAAAGTCGAGCGTTTGGTCTTTCGGTTTTTGATGTAGCTTTTGCTTTGTAAAGCATTTTTAGTGAATATCAGTTAACTACAGCCTTCCGGGAAAAATATAGCCTTTTTTTTGCAATATATATATATATATATATATATATATATAGGAAACTATTAGTTCTGCTAAACTTTGGAAAAGGCCTAACAGCTGTGTGGGATTCCTTCTAACAAAATTATAGACTGCCGCGAAAATGACTTTGCGTTTCGCATCGAAAACTAAAGTCGCGTTTGCCTGTCCACGATCAGATGACTTTCCATTGGCTTCATGGCTGAGTTGTATGGTTTTGCTATAAGAAATCAATCGAATCAGGTTGTCGGGCATAATTGTCTGGCAAGTTTTTGGTACTGCCTGATAGTTCGAGCGTTCTTCGATGCCATGTTTCAAGTGTCGTTAATAATTTGCTCAGACATCTCCGCTATCCGCGGAGTTTGGGAATTGGCGCTGTCCTCGGGCGCTCGAATAAAACTACTCCTTCATCAAATAAAAAGTAGTACGTGGATTTAGTACATTGCTAAACTGTTTATGTCACACTGTATCCAGTGGTCTACCTCGTTAGCCAGGTGACCGTTGGGTGTGGCCTGATTTTCGTCACATCACGAGAATCGATATATATATTCGCTCAAAGCGGATTATAAGTGTCACTGTAGGCACAGCCACTGTTACCTACACCTACCTATTCTGCTACTGTAGTTAGCGACTACCTTCCTTTGATGATAAAGGCTTGGCAAAAACCAGTCGTTATGTAGTATCCATTTGTGGTTTTGCTGGAGTGGACTATAATGAGCATTGCACAACAATCTATTTTATCTATTGTACGTGTGTTTATGCTGCACAGCGGCAAGTACATAGCCAGTAAATATCAATAAATATGCAAAACGAACTGTTATACTTTTTAGGGGAGTGTAATAACGAAATGATCGGAATCGCTCCTTTGTTTGAGAGAATTTTTCGGTCTCACGATGCCATAGCTTTCCTGTAGTCTAGACGTTGTTTAATCGTGGCAAACGGTGATTCCGTTACGTACAGGTTCACAAAAAATCGCAGATAAGTTTCAGCTATGCTTTCAAATCGTATCAACAGCGTCCTCCTAGGCTTTTCAGTTATCTGCTCATAAATTGTTTATTTCTTAAGCTGTTTTGCCTAAATCAGAAAACATATCGTAAATAATTTTATAGCGCCATAGAATATTAACCGTAATAACCTTTTGCAATTTCATGTCTGCGTTCTCGGTCTTCTAGCGATGTTCCGCCGAAAGGCTTTCCTTCACTGGTATACAGGTGAAGGTATGGACGAGATGGAATTTACTGAAGCCGAGTCGAACATGAATGACCTCGTGTCTGAGTACCAACAGTATCAAGAGGCAACGGCAGACGACGGGGACGTCGAGGCAGAATTTGAAGAAGGGGAATATGAGCGTGAAGTGCCACAGGAGGAAGTAGCTGAATAATCGAGTAATTGGGTTGTGAAGGATCTAAAAGTTCGAAAAACCGAACTTTATTCAGCCACGCACTGAAGTTCAAGTACGAAACGGACAAATTATCTATTTTTATATATTAAACGGCTATTTATTAAAAAAAAACCACGTAGTTCTTGTAATTACTTGCCTATGCGTCGACTAATTTAGAGGGAAGGAAGCAAAGCTTCCAGTTCAGTCAGGTGCTACGGAGTTGTTGAAATTTGGCAAAATATTATTAAGATCCAATAATTAGGCTTAGAGGGTGGGAGATATAGCATTACGAACCCGAAATCTTTAAGGCAATTTCTATTTTCTGTGTTTGTTTCACAAATAAACCAAATAGCCTTTCGTAAAGGCGGCTGCAGGATGTTCCTTGCTGTTGTTCGTCAAACACTTCGATGAGTTTTATTATGTGTTGCTGGTTTGTCTAGGCAGTACGGAGCAGATGGTCAGGGCTTCATTATGTATACGGTACTTCATCGGCTCAATTACGCAAAATGACCTATTTAACTCGTATTCAAGTAACGGCAACGATGCTTTTCCCGAGCCTTTGATTTTTGAGTTCCTTCCGTCGCCAATCGGACCTCTCGTACTTGCTAAATGGTGTTGCGGTGCCTGTGGTTAGGACACTACAATAGGTAAAAATATATCTGTTGCACATGCGTTATAATATATAATTGGGCCTTGCGCGATCGGAGCTAGCGTCGAAAATGGGCTGCTTTCGACGTGACCTTCATTACGCTGACCATTCTCATTAAATCTCGCTAAATATGAACGTGTTTTCTCGACACGCAATTAACGCTCGTACACTTTGTAACATCGAGTGTATGTCCGATGACAAAGATCTAATTTCGACGACGTTACTCATAGTATAATCAGTGGCGACGTTTTTCGGTCTAAAAAAAAACATTGATTGTTTGCCAGGAAACGCCAGATGTCAGGTTCAGATGTTTAAACTATTGTTAGCAAGTGTTCAAGGCCGAACTTTGCTGATCTCAATTAGACGAAACAGACTATCGAGCCATATGTCACAGCACCATACGTAGGCAAATATTTTGGGACATATATAACACACCGTAAGAAAATGTTAGGTCAGAGCATTTTTTCCCATTAATTTGAAGTTACATTATCAACTTATAAGGTAGGACAAAGATGCTTACTGTGCCAGGTCATTTTTCTCCACTTTAATAGGACAATGCCAGTAGCATTTATGTTAGACGTATTATACAGCGTTATTTAGTATGTTTATTTCAAAATTGAAATTGTTCGGAAACTCTATTCAAGACAGATTTTTCATTCAGTTTAATGTGACGTTAGGTTGACGTGAACATATAAATAAATGCATTAGTTCTACGAGTTACCTTAACTTTTAAACGTCCGTATTTAACGTATCGCCGTCTACGAATGTCGTTAGTTAACTGTAACTGTATTTCGTACGTTATATTCGTCCAAAGCCTATGCAAGTTTGATTTTTTTTTTGACAAAGATACGTACACTTCAATCACTAATTAAGATATTCTATGAAAGACAGAACTGGAAAATTAGCCTCATCGAAGCCACCAATGGCAATTAGCTGATCACTGGATTACCTATCAATCAACCGGAACATTCTCTATGCATCTACAGACGACAATCAATTATGACTAAGTAGAATGTGGAAAATAGGGATAGCTTATCCAGCATATTATGAAGGCGCTTTATCCTAATAGCATAGCCCACGGTAATTTTTATTAATAGATAAAAACACATGTCAGGTCTCAATAACGCCTACATAAGCGTATTACCTATACGGAAACACATACTGCGCGTAGTAAAATTTATTTTCAAAACATAATATATATTGACATAAAAAATCTTCAAAACGTACTGAAGTATTTAATTTTAATAATCGCAGGTTTTTTTTTCTTTATTTATACAACATTTGTGATGTGTACAACCTATGTAGTTGTTACCTACACAACTGTGAGCACCCATCTTGCGAACGGTGAGATTTACCAGCCAAAATTTGGTAACGTAGTTTATCGGAAACCCAAAAACGTACCCAAACGAAACCCAAAACAATGCAACTGTACGTTTCCTCGGAGTGCTACTGCTTTATAGATCTTTTATAAACGCCTTTATGTTTCCTTTGAACGCCATCTCGGGCATTAAATCTCCAAAATTTGGAACAATAAAGCTCTAACTATATTTTTTTAAATTGACATTTTTCAACTAGTTTGAGTTTACAGGTACTTTTGGGGAATTTTCGACCGTAATTATCTCCAGGTAGGCTTTCCTTCGAACTTACGACTTTAAAATGCGGCTGTGTCTGGTGGTTCCTATCACCTCTATCTATATGAAGCAAAAGCAATAAATATCAAAAAGCTTTTTTTGTTTTACTATTTCAAAAGAATACTTTTCAGTGATTACATACCAGATGTCTATATTCCAATGAGCTTCACGAAGTCTCTAGGAAACTCTCCGAAACAAATTCTGTGTAATTTTTTTTTTCGAAATTTTAGAAACCTTGTAAGTGTTCGATAGTACTAGATCCTTTTACCCTGAGAAAATAAATTATAGCAAGGTCTCGACTTTTAGCGTAAATCTTACCGTATCAGTTGTTAATGTACATTAGACAAAATGTGCTTTAACGCCCTGCCTGTAAACCAAATCGTTCGCGGAAAACATAAATTATTAGTGCTAAATTTTTCGAAGAACCCCATTTTCCGATATGCTTGTTACGTATTACTGTTAAGCTTGACCGTGCGTCGCAAAGGGTCAAAAGTTTTATAGAAATCGCCTCGAGTGTGAAATGTGTAAGTTTTAACAGAAACGAGAAGTCAGACTTCAAGACGAAGCCTTTTGAACCCCCAGATTTTGCTCTGGCTAGTCGAGCTGGAGAGCCGACGGAATTCATAATGAACACATAAAAAGACGATGGCGTCTGCACATCGTTGTACGTGCTTCTTTAGCGTTTGCTTTGATTTGCGAAGAAATGATTAACGGTCGCTATCTCCAAAGGGATGGGAGACAAAGCTGGCACAACAAGTAGTGCAATTTAATATACACGGGTTGCTAAAAGACATAATTCAAAGAAATTTAATTATCACTGATGAATGGATATTAGGAAAAAATCAGCGTCAAACGAACGATAGAATTATTTTTCCAAGGAGACAATCCAAGTTCATTTCAGCTCCGGCCCGTCCTTGAAGCTCAAAAAGTGAAGCAGATGTGCTATCACACATGAATGTCACCCAGACGGAAAAATCTCGAAAAAACAACTACTTTACGTACCTACACTTAATTTTAATAAAATCTAAAAGTTTTTTTTTACAGAACACGACGAGAAAAGCGTCAGGAAGGCAATGGTGCGAGCAATCACTAGTGGCAAGTCCGCGAAATCTATCCGTAGACGCCACGGTGAGACTGATGAGCCTAAATCTAACTGCAAGAACTGCGGCTTACGATATCCAACTTATCTGAAAGAAGTTCAGTAATCGAGCTTTAACAATGGCAGGCGAAATCAGAGTCCCAAAATAGGCATTCGATCTTTACACGTCAGTCTGGTATATCTACTAGCTGATTCGTCATCGTTCGTTAAAGATATGCGCAGAATTTTCGCCCTGTGCAAAGCAGTAACGTATTACATCTTCATAGTTAGATAGACAGACAACAAACAAAACGACTGTAGACCTTTCTTTTTTACATCACTTGCAATCTACGGATCTTATCTGTAAACACACGAATTTTGCCTTTACCCAGTTATACCATGGACTAGATGAAAGCTGGATTTGTAAAATTTAGTACTGCAGATATCTTCCCGGGCAATGTAACTAAATCGGATCATTGAATCACCATCACTGAGCCCGCTAGTTCAGATACGTTGGGTTTTAAAGTAAATCAGAGGTTCCAATGTAGGCAAGTGTTAGTTTCATATATATATACGTAACTTCTATGCATGGGTTGTACGAAATAAACCTGACTGATTGCCATGCTTGATTCAATACCAGTCATGTTTAACTTACCGCTCATCTCAATCATATTTATCGCTGTCGTAGATTTTTGTTTTCTGACAGTGCCTGCTTCACAGAACCAGATAAAGTTACTAAGCTCGAACGGCCATTACTGTTGCTATTACAGCATAAATGACATTTATTTTTCGTAATTTTTTTTAATACTCAGGCTAAGTTTTTGATCGCTTGCTATTCCTCGAATCAAATTAAGCATGAAGATATTTAAGTCGGCAAAAAAAAACTTATCTTTTCCTTTGATGGTATGGTGAGTAGTGCCAAGTTATAAAACGTCAAGCGTTCGACCCTATTCCTGCCCAAAAAGAGATACTTATTAAAGGAATAATTTGCCTATTCGAGCAAAGCAAACAAGTAAAAATTAGGTATTTAAGAGTGTCCGATATTTGGTCTTGTGTGATCTTCATTTTACTACTTGTTTCACAGGTACTCAGTATCAAAAATTTGTCATTTGTCTGATCAATTGAGAGCTCACCCGTGCAATCAGTAGTTTAAGATCATCAGGCCAACAGCTACTTTAAATTTGTAAAACAAGCGTATTTATATACATAAAGCAATAAAAATATAATTACAAGCAACTAAGTACTGAGAGAGCACCTGTATATTCATATTAACTTTATGATGAAGTATTTCAAATAAAAAAAAAAACGTGAACGATTTAAAAGGTATATAAGTTAAGTGACACTTAGAGAGTAAATTATATGTACTGCTGTTTAATGAACGTCGCTCCTGCAGTGACTAACGGCATAACTTCAAAAAAGGAGAGACTTAACATGGAGAGAGACAAATCAAGTGTCTACGATACTCGACATCATCGAATCTCTGAGATTTCCTTGATGATGTTTAAATCTAGCTAATGTATATAAGGTACAAATGCTGTTATTTAGGTTCGTGCGATAAAGCACAATTTCGATATGATGCTATATTTATTATTTTATTTGTTGATTTATGCGATCCAATACTCTATTACTACCGAGTTAAAGGCTCAATGCTTCCCTTAATTAGTTCAGGGGCACCGACTACCGATATATCCTAAAGCAATATACGCACGCATCGAATATGATTGATAAAATAATATGCTTTATTTCACTAATAACTAAAAATTCTTAGGCATACGAATGTTGCGATATACTTTATATATATATATATATATATATAGCCAAATTAGTAAACAGTTAAGAAAAAACCAATCGTCAAATAAAACCAAATTTTTTATATTCAAACCTCTCGTCGATCAGCAGGAAGATCAATATTTTTTGAAAACAGTGGATTCGGTTGAAGATCAAATTTGACTGACACATTTGTAGATGACCTCTGGCGAATAATTAAATCAGCGCTAAGTGTGAATCACCGATAATTATAATAGTGAGTAAACAGTGGTCTTCTAATAAATATTGAAAAGACACTGTAAATACCAGAAAGTTCCATTCTCGAAAAAGCTAAAGTTAGCTTTCTGAAAAAAAGCTAAAATGTGTGTGTGTGTTTTTTTTACTTACAATAAAACAGTTCCTCGCAGCGTGAAAGATAGATGTGAAACATAATCTTTTCTGTAGCACGACAGAAAAAAAGCATCAAAGGGAGGAACAGAATCATTTCTGGAACCGACTAGATAAGATCAAAGATACAATCTTCGAAACAAGATAAGACAGGTATCGATTAAAATGCAGCGGAAATCTGCGCGCACAAACAGTACTCAGCTTTTCTTATAAGAAGACAGGTTTAGGAGCTGGATAGGACTACGTTAGGGAGGTACATGCCGAAAGAGGTCGAACGATTTGCAGATTGATTAATTTGAAATAATAGGCAAAACATAAACTCCTTACAATGACATCATTCTTGATCGTATGAGTATCGAGTAAGAAGAACGAATAGATGTTAGCTCTAAATCGTACGCTTTTTCTCCAGTAAGGACGAGGTAACACAGCTGGCAAAACCTAATAGGTCAGGCAGCTCCCATTAGTATAAAACGTGGGTTAGTGTCGCGATCAACGTTGCTGCAACTAAGAATTAACCTAATCCAAAACGGTTTATTCAACATGCTTGCCAACAGTTGGCCATCCATCACCTATAGTGATAGCCTTTTGTCAAATATACAATTCTTTTGGGATGCTATTTCTACTCGACTTCCAACAACACCCTCTGGAAGTTTGCTCGACCCACACCCAGAGCTATAGACCCGATGAGACTATAAAGCCATAATTAAACCAAATAACGAACGGGAGATAAATACACAGAAACTTAGACAATACTTACAATATTTGTGGATGTATAATATTAGACCTAGCAAAAAAGTAGGATTAAACTTGTCTATTTAAACTGGTCTAGCATCAATTTGCAGGTCTTACTCTGATTTTTCGATCTTTATGCACGTCAACCGCCAAAATCTATACAATATTATAAATACAGTCATCACCTGAATCAATAGGATCCCTTTGCAGGATCTCACAAATCCTATAAAATGTTTATGAACGATATTTTTAATGGCCTTAACCAACACACTCTCAAACGAGTTTCTTTACTTTTTCTTTTTGTTCTAAATACATATTGCGATGTATCAATGCACATATATTTGAAGAGAAGCAAGATGCTTAAGACGCTATCATCACTTTATACCCTCCACATATAGCCAGGCTATGAGGATGTCACATATTGTTTATTCGAGCACATGGGATATACTTTTTTCGCTTTTAGATAAAATAGTCTCACCACGACCTTATGCGGACAGTTGCTATTAGCCAAGGTCAATTTGACTTAACTCTAGCGGTTGTGAGAAGTACAAATCGGTTCTCATAAGGCTCTCAGAGGGCCATGTTATACATCTTATATATGTGTATAGATATATATATGTATAGATATATGCGGCCTAGATGAAGGCCGCCAGTACTGGTTTGCCACTTCGGGATGCCTTGCGCTTTCATCCACAGCGGCGACCAGCGACACCGATGATTTCGAGATACGTTTCTCTCCGAACATCGTCTGTTTACGGACGGCGGAATAAAGAAATCACGCTTCACAGCTTCCTTTTAGTCCGAGAGCAACGCATTGTCATGTTACTATTTTCTATAATTATTTTTCGGCAGGGCCCTGCAATATTCATCTAGAATACGTATATTTACATATAGAAATGTTTGTCTAAATAGAATTTAGTGGAGCTAAAATGAAATCGGTGTCAGCAGTTAAGAAACCGGCTATGGAAAACGTCAATGGGTCAAAAGTGCAAGAACAGAGATTAAAAAAAAAAAAAAAAAAAAAAGGTACGAATAAGCTGAGCTGAACATGTTTCTTCATATTGTTCCGTTGACTACAATACCATCAGACGGACTAAGCAAACTAAGGGCCTAGATAGATAGATAGCGATTATAATACGAATACAAGCAGGACAATTAAAAAGCATATTCCGGAAATGTTACCCTTAGAAAGTCTGCATCATTTACCATATAGATGCTTCATTCTCTCAATATCCTATGTGTATGTATAGTAGTGTTTACGTCTGCAGACTGGACGCCATCTTACATTGTGTCTCTAACTAATTCTGTGTGTTGAAAGAAATCGTAGTTTCTGACTCAGATCCCCCTGTTCGGTTTTATTCAGAGACGGAGATTGCAATTTATTGATACATTTCGAATATGAGTATTGTGAAAATTTCTATGAAACGCTTCGGGTGCTTAAAGAAAGCTTTCGCAGAGTGTCTGGCAATGACATAAAAATCCTTGCTAAGGACGGTTTCCTAGGGTGGTTGGGTTTGGCAGAGATGTAACTTAAACAATTGTTTTGATTACGTCGTTAGCAGGCACGCTATTGTAACGCTAATCAATCACTTAGGAGCTCACGTCCAAGTACAATCGCGCTCCGAAAAACTGCTCGACGACGTACCCCTGACTATTTGTGGACTTTGGTTGCATTACACATACCCGGGCTCCGGCGATATTTTGGAGAAAATTCTTCAAAGTCAAGTACAGCCATGACGCTCAAACAGCACGAGATCGAAAACCGCGGTATTGTTGGGTGGTGGATGTTGGGCCGTTAGACGTACGAAGAAATGTTTCAGACTGGCTATACAAACTGTCAACCGACTGCGTGTTTAGCTAACATGTAATACTAATGAGCAATACATATATTTCGACTTCCGTAACAATTTCTTTAAAATTATTTTTCTGTTCTTCTGTTTTATTACCAAGCTAGGGGTTCGTATTTGGCAGCGATAGTTGAATTCTGCAAGCTATCTGTTCTTTGCCATGTGACCCCATTGCCTGGTCCAATTTACGCTGCCCATGCTTCAGAAGATATTTTCGAAGAAGAAAAGCGATATAATTTAACCTAATTCTAGTAGTTGCTTAAGGACTACTCACTGAAAATTTCGGTATGTTATTAATTTCTAAGCTACCCAGATACTGACTGAATTCAGATACGTCTTGCGAACAAAAGTTCATATTTTCAGGACCCAGTGTATTGTATTGGCCATTGTAATTTAGCCTAGATCCTGGTAACCAGCGATTTAGTTTAATGATATACCTCCAATATGGGGTCCCAGCCTGGCGAGTTTTTATTACTATTATACCTATTACTCCTTTTGCTATTACTAAAGATGTACCCAAATTGAATGAACACTTTACTGGGCAAAGACATTCAACGCGGAGAGGACTCTGGTAGAAAACTGTTGAAGTTTTTATTGTCTTGCCGGCACTAAGTCGATGTATAGAGCTGTCATCTAAATAGAACTGGCGACGCCAATACGCTTAGTATAACCTGGAAATTCCAAGGGCTTATCTTCGATGTAACCTTGTCTCGCTTTTAACCCCGCTAACAGCATGCTGAAGTATGTAGCTCAGAGCCTCAAGTGCGGTATGATAATGGAGGTCCATTACAGGTCACATCCTAACCTAAAGTATTGATAAAGGGACAAAATTCTACAAACTACTCAACTTTATTTCTGGCTAGGTTTAGCAATAACTAGTTGAAAATACCTTGGCGATAATAACCTAGGCTCATCCTATAAGTATCTGTGTCTTTTTAAAGTAAGCCACCGTGAGCAAAGCCAGTGCGGAATTCATGTCGGGTATCCTCATTTGGCGGTTCAACGAAAAATAACATTTATAGCTAGCTAGCTAGGCCATAGCTAGTGAAAGGATTATAGTGAAGTTATGATTGGACCATTCACCTGGCGATAAGTATACCGTAGCGTTTGTTCCGTTACAATTAATAACCACAAATAACGTCGATGGAAAAAGTTCTATGCTATGTGCGTTGCAAATGTTTATAGGGAATACATACGAGATCCATTTAATCGCTACTTTATATCTGAATATGATTTTCCTTAGTATTCAGGAAGCAATGGCCTACGTAAAGCACGCCCTTTCACACGCGTTTCACTTTCGTGAACACCGAAGTCACCGAAGCCTAGTGAGCTATCATCTTCCGTAATAAATCGATCGTTCATTTTAGGTAGATGGTGGGCAGGGCAGTCACATAACGATGCTACAATGCCTCGAGGCCATTTGAGGTCCTACACTAACGCTTTGTCAAAGCCATTTTGTAGAATTACGGCACGCCCTTAATGCTCGTTTGTGCGAACCTTCTTCAGGGTCACTGGTGGCTGGCAGTTCGTAAGCGTTTGGCGGCCAGCTGCGTACTGAATGTTGACACCACATTGGAGCAATAGAAAAGGAAGCGTGCGAACAGATAGGAATTGTACGGCAGTAGGGCATTTTCGGCCAGCTTGTTTGTATATATATACGAAGCTGTTTT